CCACTAGGAAGGCCAGTAGGTGGCGCTATTTGTAGGCCAATTTCGATACGCTAATAACTCCCGCATAGTTTGTCTCACATTCAAAAACCTTATATCCACGCGTTCGGTGAATGGAGCTGAACCTCCCCATATAGGCCACGCCCACTTCCGCCTAGATTTTTTTTTTTCTAGAGCGCAAAATGTCCATAAATCACTTTTTCGTGTTCCTCCTACACACTTTTTCCGATGCGCACGAAACTTTGCACGTTTCATCTGTGGACCGTCCTGACAACAAAAGTAATTTGAAGAATTTTGATATTATAAAACATAAGGAAGTTATACAATTAGCACTTCCTGTTGATTTTTCGTCAAAAAAGGAAGTGGGGTATTTCTCCACATTGGTATGTCCGATTTACACCAACCTTGGGTCCATAGTTCCCCATGTCTTCCTTAAGCATCATGCATAATTTCAGGTCATCACCACAAGGTGGCGCTCTTTAAAATGAAGGAGTTTATAGCTCTACAACGGTATGCGTGATTAAGATGAAACTTGGTACGCTGCTTCCCCATGGTTCCCTGAGGCTCACTTAAAAAGGACAAAAAAAATACGCCACTAGGTGGTGCTCTTTTGGCATGATAAATCACTCGTAATAGTTATGAATATGAAATTCACAGGGTACGTGTAGAGTGGTGCCTGAAGCTCACATACCAAAAATCCTGTTTGTCCTGCTTGTAGCGCCCCCTACAGGATAAAAAAACATCAGCCCCGGCGCCACGTTTCACCGACATGTACGAAACTCAATAGGCATGTATAATGTGCCGGGGCGTACAAAAAAGCCTCTTGGACCCATACCTCAAATCCCACAGGAAGTCGGCTATTTTCATTTAAAATTTGCACTTTTGGCGGCCATTTTGTGGTCATTTTGACTCTTTGGGCTTGTTTTAGAACTAACTGCTCCTAGGGAATTTATCAGATCTGCTTCAAAATTGGTCAGTACAGTCACAACATGGTGCTGAATGAACGCATTTCATTTTGTGACTGTACGTTGAAGGGCGCGTCCGTGGCGTGCCCTCAAAGTTGGCCATTTAGAACAAATGTCACTGTGATGTCATTTTTGCATTTCAGGGCTTCTATTTGAATGATCCCCTCCTACAGGTCCATCGGATCTTCTTCAAAATTGGGCAGTCCAGTCACAACATGGGGTTGAATGAACACATTATATTTGGTGACTGTACGTTAAAGGGCGTGTCCGTGGCGTGGCCTCAAAGTTGGCCATTTAGAACAAATGTCACACTGTGATGTCATTTTGGCCTTTCAGGGCTTCTATTTGAATGATCTCCTCCTACACGTTCTAACGGATCTTCTTTAAAATTGGGCACTACAGTCACAACATGGTGCTGAATGAATGCATATCATTTTGTGACTGTACGTTGAACGGCGTGTCCGTGGCGTGCCCTCAAAGTTGGCCATTTTGAAGTCTGTGGTCTTGTATTTGAACAAACAAACTCCTAGAGAATTTATCAGATCGGCTTCAAAACTTGACGGGACTCTTGAATAATCTTGCTGATTACAAGTTGTGCTATTTATGACTGTACGTTGAAGGGGCGTGTCCGTGGCGTGCCCTCAAAGTTGTCCATTTTGAACGAATGTCACACTGTGATGACAATTGTGGCATTTCAGGGCTTCTATTGTAAGTCCTCATACAGTCCTGAAACATTGAAGTCAAGGGAAAAGAAATCATGTTAATTTCAACTTTAATTTCTGTAAAAGAAAAAAGGGTCCTGAGATAACTTTTGTTATGGTAAATGGACCACTCAAAGCGCTATGACTTAGCACTATACAAATAAAATTGAATTGAATTAAGAGTATCTGTGGGAGATTGCTATTGTTATCATTATTATTAGTAGTAATACTTTCATTTACTCATACTACTTCAGATGGTTTAGCATTAGCATCAGGATATGATTAACAGATGTTAATTTTAGGGCATAATTGAAGACTGCATTTATTGTAAGTGTGATGATATGGCTTTATGTATGGAATTGTCACAAGTTGATCTAAGGTTGAGAATGTGAGTAAAATTTGTTACAATATGTAATTCACTTAAATGTGGTCTTACATGTAAATGCCAAAACAGCAGGACACCACAGGGAATTGAACCCCATCCCAGTAAACCAGGAGTACCATTACTAGTGTCTTTTTGCTTTTTTGACAACACATGAAAGGTAAAGCAATAACTGCATTAGCAACAGCATAATATTATTTTAGCATTTAAGTATTTACAATTGAAATTATGCCTTACTTGCACTTAATTTTGGATATTTAGTGTAGATAACTTCAATGACTGCACTTGTGCAGTTATTAGTAATGAAGTGTTTTTTAATAGAAATGATTATCAATACATGTTTTAGCTACAAATGCTGTTGCAATGCAGAAAGGAAACCCTTTTATCATATTTAACGTGCAGTAGAAGAACCTACAAAAAACGTGCATATTAAAATATCAAATGTTAACATGAAAGAAGCCAAACCAGCATGACCAAGATCAAACAGCATGCAATAACTTTTATTAGTATTCATTATTACATTTATATTAAGATAATTCATAAAACACACATTATGACATTCACATTACCAATTATTATGAGAAGGAGTTCATAAATCAAACACATTACTGCATGTACATTATAAAATCATACAAGATAAATCATTGAACAAACACCTGTATGTTTGTAAACATGCATAATAGGGTTAGACAAGGCAATTCATAAAACATACAACATATTAAATACACAGTATACAATAGTACAAGAGATTTAATTGAACAAACATTACATGAATATTAAAATCTAAGAAAACAAAATTCATACATATACATTATTATGTACACATTATATATTAATTTAAGAGATTTCATAAAACACATTTTATAGTTATTCAAGTTGTCCATGTTTATGTTCTAAACTCCTAGATGTAAATGAACATAGAATCCCTTCATGGTCACTGAAATATGTCGGCAAGACAACAGACTGTACATCATAATGTGATGTTTTCACATACACATGATCAATTAATGTGCCTTTTTCTGTTGTTGCTTGTTTGACAATTTGGATAAACCCTTTGTCAGTCATGAACTTGCAGATAGTTGATGATTTCAAAATGTTGTCATTGAAATCTCCCATGACAGCAATTGTGGTACTTTGGTGATTTAGCCAATTAAGTAATTTTTCAAGGTTTTCTTTAAACAATGTTATGGTATATGATGGTGGTCGATAAATAACTGCGATTAATATATTGTATGCAGTGCAGTGGTAAACCAAACATTCTAAATTTACATTTGGTACCGGGATAATACTGTGTGCCAAATTCTCTGCACTATACATGCCAACTCCACCATGTTGTTGGTCTTGAATTTGTTTGAATAAGGGGTTGCTGCTATTGTAGGACAAACTCCTTGGATGATTGTGAAAAGCATAACCATCCATTTTTACAGTTTCCAATGAGTAAACTGCAGGCAGCCATGTTTCAGTAACAGCAATACAGTTAAGCTGCAGATGCTGTGTACAAAAAGCCAAATCAGTTACATGAGGTGTCAAATTTTGCACATTCATCAAAAACACATTAAATGGTGGTGTAGTATAATTACAAGCTGTAATATTTGTGACCAAGAAGGGAGGCATTGTTGCAATTGCATCCTCAATGTTATCTTTGCAATATATGGCTTTCTCGTCGAAATTCTGAATAACTAAACCCGACAAACTTCTAACTCGACTTAAAGCCACATATGCTTGACCAGCTGCAAAGATTTTCTTCAGCGAAACTACGGCTTTATCCACAGTAAGTCCTTGGACTTTATGGACTGTACAAGCCCAGGCAAGCTTTAGCGGAAATTGCCGGCGCAATCCACCATGTTTAGTCACCCTTTCCTCTTCTGGTTCAATGCCCGTGGAACCCGTTTCAACAGCAGAGGTAAATGCAGAGCAAGTCCTCCTTTTTGTCCCAACTTGATGATCATCAAACTTAACATAAATCATCTTTGGGAACTTATCATCATTATCGGGATAAACTATATGTGTGATGGTGCCACACACACCATTCACTAAACCATCATCAACATCCAGATTTTTTAACAGCATTACACGAGCATCTACTCCCAAAAGCAGGGTCTTATCCAGACACGTATTGTACGTTTTGCTATGATGTCCTTCCTTCAACACAAGCTTGCCTGTTTGCTTACTATGTACAAAATCTTTTGCATCTATCTTAACATAATCAGGACAACTCTTGAATAACTGTAAAACATTATGCTCATTTACTTGTTTGTTGGTAGGAAAAATGTGTAAAGCTGAGCTGACTTCACAACCAGTTTCACACTGCTTTAATAATTGTATATCCGAATCCAGCATGGGGGTCCCTTTTGAACGAGTTCTCACTCTGTTCAACAACTCTGCAAAGACAACATCTTTTGACGGACAACAGTTTTCAGTTCCGCAACCTGAAACTCAGTCCACAAGCCAACACTAATATCATCTAAATATAAAGCTTTCCCTTTCACTGGAGGCAACTGATAAAAATCCCCAACTGCAATTATGCTAACATTTCCAAACGGGGAATAGCCACCAGACTGTTTAATTTGTCTTAAACGTCCATGGATGTAGGCCAATAGTTTATGATCAACCATGGAGATTTCATCGATTATCAAAAGCTGCAAGTTACTATATTTAGCACGCAAAGAATTGAGCTTTTCCTCACCCAGTGGCGTGTAAGGCAAGCGCACATCTTTACCAATGCCAAATGAACTGTGAATAGTACCTGCATGTAAATTGTGTGCAGCTATCCCCGTAGGAGCAGTTAGCAAAACGCAAATGTCGTCCGGATTGCGACAACCTCTTGACAATAACCTCATTGCCTCATACTGGATAGCCTTTATTAAGTGGCTTTTACCTGTCCCTGCACCACCTGTAACAAAGACACGCAACGGAGCTATTTTTTCACCATTAACCTTACTTAAACACCACTGTCTAATCTGGTAAAAGATAGAGAGCTGTGTGTCATTAAGAGATCTAATTAAGGCCAAGCCATCACTTCTGCACAGTACATTCTGTCTTTTTTCTAAATGAGAAACTTCTCTATTACTAGTCGCTAAATCCGGAATACCTTCCACAGGCTCATCTGAAGGTTGTTCACTCTTCCTACGCTCTTCCAAACACTCTAGACGCTCCTGTTCTTGCTCCGGGCAGAGATCACACCAGGCATCTTCCAGAACTGCATCCGTGTCAACCAAATTGTGGATATTATCCAACTTTTCAGCATCAATTTCAAATCTGCTGCGATTTGAATCGACAACTGACTTAACCGAATGCAGCACTCCATCATTCAATCCCACATGACCATGACTATAAAATTGTTCAAACGTTTCAAAACCTGCTGGTTTCAGGTGCATGTCTATGCGAAACGGTAAAAACAATTGCATAATACTCTGATAAAACAATTCTGGATTCTTTGTTTCGGAAAAGTGCGCATAACGAATCACTGCAGGGTCCGAACGTGTTCTTTTCAAAATGAAGCCACAATTGTTATCTAGTACTATCCTGTTAACAGACATCTGGGATTTGCTCAAAACACGATACTCGGAGGCAAATGTTGCCATACACATATCGTTAAAGGTATCGTCTCTTGGCCTATTCTTATATCTGTCAACAGAACTAGTCATCCACATATCTTCCGTGGTAAGGTCATGTGATAATGCCTTTTGTTTTAACATCGATAAAGGCAAACTCATTTTAACAGCATGATCCCCGACTGGAACAAAAACAACTTGCCTAGAACACTCCTTCAGATGCATGCTAGTCAACCTGTAGACAGCCTCTTGTGCACACACATCTCGATTGTGTAAATACACACTTCCTAAGTTTTTAAGTGCATCTTTAGCACTGCTATTTCCCTCCCTAGCAGCTTCCCTCTGTGCATTCCCTAATAATAGTCCTATCTCACGCTCTGCTTTTGAAATGTAGGAAATAATATACACTACACAAGCATACGCGTCGACAACATATTGGATATCAATATTCGCATTCCAACATTTTAAAAGTGGTTTACTATATTGATTAATCCAAACCTCATTGGCTTGCCTTCTTAAAACAACATGCGTCTTCTTAGCACAAATATTGTAGGCTTTTTCAAACATCCTTTGATCTACCTGTACATAATGAAACAATTGCTCTACAGTGTCAAAACTGACATTGTCATCTGAAAGGGCCATTTTAATTTTTGTTGTAATGTTCACTGCCATTGCTTTTTGTTCTAATTTTTTCTGTTTCCTAATTTTGCATGCACAGTCTTCCAATTTTTGTGCTCCATCTTTCTGACATGTGCATGTTTTATCCTCCTCCTCGTCTTCAATAGGCGGGCGAGATATAAAAGTTCTCGCAGACGGGGGCTTAGGAAAATTAAAACGGCAAACAGTTCTATTTTTTTTGCATGTTTTAGAATGCCGTTTGGAATGCTTTTGCACAGATGAAACTATGTCCAATAGTGTCTCATCTTGTGCAGGTAATTCACATGTTACATAATTATCAATAAATTGAATTACCTCTTCATCAGTATTTTTGTCAATTATTGGCGCATTTTCGATCCAAAACAGGCAGTGAACATGTGGTGAACCACGCTGCTGGAATTCAACCCTATAGAAGTAATCTATGACTTTGCCAATGGGATTAGATGGAGACATTAAAACCTCTTTCAGAAAACAATGCCAGCGAAAATCGAACATCCTCGCTGCAGTAACGGGATTACGACGCAAAAGTTCGCATCTATCTGCCCACTCCAGCTCTTCGGCCGTCTCTGTCCTACCTTCCTGTTTCAATATGCTATTCAAAAGATTCTTCCACCGCATATCAGCGGAAGAAAATGAACAAAACCACGTCGGGATCCCCAGCTGACGAACACAAGCTAACAAATCACGCTGCACGCCCTGCCAAAAAGATGGGGTACCTCTAATAGGTTTGAGAAAGCGATACCCATCATCAAACTGCAACAACTGCTTAAACTGTTCTTCATCATTTAATACACTCGTAGTTACATTTTTAAATTGCCCTCCTTTTCCCTTTCGTAATGCTATTGATACACTTGACACAACCTGTTGAACCTCAGACATGTACTGAGCAAAGAAAATGTAATCAACATTTTGTGCAAATCTACCATCGGCATTTAAAATACGGTTATTAAAATAACGGCACAAAGTCAAGCGATGAGGTCTGCTGTCGTGGTATGTCGCAGATCCAGTCGGAAACAACACCGGGAAACATTTTGCTTCATTTGAATGATCAGACAACAACTTGACAGGAGTGTTGCCTTCTGCTGGAGCTACATTTAATATGTTATCAAAATACTGATCAAGCGCTTCTTGACCAATGTCAACAGGCATAAGACAAGTGTCCTGAAACATACAATGCTGTTGTCTGTCATGCAGAAGCTCATCTTCCTCAGCAGCTGCATTACTGTCATCATTAGCATTACCATCTACTGCTGCACTATCCTGTTCTGCCACACTCTCTTGTTCCCTACAAAACTCATTTAACCACTCTTCATTAAAATCTACATCCTTATAATGTACATTATTCTGTTTCAAATACTGCAACGCCTGCTTGATGCGTAGACTATCCACAAACTGATACTCATAATGCCCTTTGTACGTGAGCTTACGCTTCAGTTTGACAGGTAGCAAAGATCCATCCATGTCCGAACGCGGCAGCAAATTGCTCGTCTGCACAATATTAGCAGGAACACACGTTACAGGCCCGTGGACGCCATTTTGCCCACCTTTAGGCAATGCTAGCATCTTCATGAATGGAATATGCAGCGCTATTAAATGTTGCTCTAAACTATTCAAGCATGCTAATTCTGGTGGAATAAAACATGTTGCCAAATTATTCAAAGCACATTCCGGTGGCATATGACCTCTACTAATTTTAGTGTTACAACTGAAACAAATCCACAACTGACCCCTAGCTGAATTTAACCACTGACAAGGCAATACACAATCTGTACTACATTTATGCAAATATTGTTCACTAATACATTTACCTGCAATTACACTTATTTCTTTTCTTTTACTATAATCCTTCATGCTACACGGTAAAACTTGTTTTCTAAATAACTTTCTAAAACACACACAACAGACAAAATCCGGGCCATCATTGACTTTAGCCAAAAACTGCTGCATAACTAAATCAAACTCTGTCAATTTTGCATTTAAACGTTGCCTCTTCAATTTCATATATGCAACAACGCGCTGCCTATGCTGACGATTTCCATGATATTTCTTTATACTCCTGGATTTCATATACTGCCTGTGCAATCGATTCTTACGGTATTTAGTTTTACTCATTTCCTTTACTGTGTCCCTGTGAGACTTATTTTTGCGATATTTAGTTTTACTCATTTCCTTTACTGTGTCCCTGTGAGACTTATTTTTACGATATTTAGTTTTACTCATTTCCTTCACTGTGTCCCTGTGAGACTTATTTTTACGATATTTAGTTTTACTCATTCCCGTGCTGTGAGACTTATTTTTACGATATTTAGTTTTACTCATTTCCTTTACTGTGTCCCTGTGAGACTTATTTTTACGATATTTAGTTTTACTCATTTCCTTTACTGTGTCCCTGTGAGACTTATTTTTACGATATTTAGCTTTACTCATTTCATTCAATTTTTCCTTGTACCCATTTTCTCCCTGATAATTCATTTTCATCTTTTCTAGAAATTCTTGCCTGTTTTGCTGATATTTTATTCTTTTTTGTAAATTTTTTTTTTTGACTAAATAGTTAGACAGAGACAACTTACGTATGGATTGGGCATTTTGATCAATAATGCCTACTTCAGCTTCACAAATTGAGGATGCAACCGAAATTAAATTGTCTGCACAAACAACACCTTGTTTTCTGAAATTGTACCTAGACCCACCCACTTTGCAATACCCATAGCAACACTGCATGTTTGGCTGCTGAACACAGACAACACTCTCATAATGATTTCCATTGCAATTTTCTAAATAAATCCCCTGATTTGACAACAACCTGGACTTACAACTATATTCAAGCCAGCGACCATCACAATAAGTGAATATACTCACTCCGAAAAAATCTGCTGCTGCTTGAATCTCTACTTCTGTGGCCCAACTACCGACATAGGCCATTTTTGACATTGTGAGATATTCCTCCGTTGAAGAATACTCAGGTCTTAAAGCACCACCATTGGCTTTCAAATGCTTTACAACAGCAAGCCTGATTTTTCTGTGATGCTTCTGTGTACCACACACAGCCTGACTAACTGCTCTAAAGAAACAGTTACCATCCCCAACTATTTTCTCCTTCAGACAAGGAGCACCCAACGGACCAACTTCTGTCGAAACTAAATCTACTTTCTCTGACTCAACATTTAACTGTTTGCACAGAGTGTCTACAACTACCCCACAAAGTGGATTAAACTGGAGCCCTTCACTCACAACATCAGCTACAAAAACAACATCTGAATCAACTGCAGCATAATCACTGTTTTTTGCCTTCTTTGATGAAAACCCACTGCTTGATCTTTTGCGCTTAATACTTGTGCAGCCAACTGTTGGCTGAACAGGTAAACCACAGCCCGACTGACTTCCCCTGCTTTCTACTAGTACCTTTGGACTGGAGAGTGAATTAACAGATGGAACTGGACATCTGGGGGTCACACAAACACTAGCAATCTCAAACTGTTTGGGATGTTTAAATGCTGTTGCATATTTGCACATGTGCTCAAAAACATCATCAAGGCAAGTGAAACGCACAACAACACTTTTCCCTTCCCCATCCACCATCCCATCCGCACTGCGCGCATGCGAATCAACCACAGCAAAACGACCACCTTGACTGATGACTGCGCATGTATTTCCACCCAATGTCAGAAAACATGTGTCATATTTACTAAACATCTTCTCTAATCCAGATCTGAGACTGATCGTTACACCAGCTTCAATCAGATCACTTGTCACTTCATTAACAAATCCAGAAACGCAATCCTCATACTCAAAGTCAAACGTTTGTCCATCGATAACAGCCTGTTTGGGCAAATCAGGAACACTAAGCAGTTTCGAAACCTCACTGGTGACATTGCTGTCCCTCAACGTATTGTAAAGATTATCCCCCAAAACAACAACCTTGTCCAGATTGCCAGCCTGCCACGAAAACACACTTTCAATTGAGTGTTTTGCTACAGCTACCAAACTGATAGCCATACACTGAACTCCAGCGTGTTGAAACCGAGAATCTGCCTGATGGAAAGATCCCCTGACAGAACTTGCACTACTCTGCGAACTGCCACCCTCGACTACAGCTGCAGTTGCAACTGTGACATCAACAGCTACATCTGTCAGCAATGTAGCACTGTCAATGTCAGAATCTGCCTTCACAGACAACCTGCTAATGAGACACCACTCTGCACCCAAAGACTTCTTAAGATCTTGGATATGCACTATCAGGTCACGCAGCGTTGTGTTCAAAACAGCTACAGACCTGCCAATATTAGATGCCAAACCAGATGCATCACAAGTACCACAATCAACTACCACAAAGTAACCATTGTGCTCAATGACAGCACTCACGGCACCGTGGAGGTTCAAGAGACACATTCCATCAGTCAACAAAGGTTCCTGTAGTTTTTCATGTAACACAGACTCGTCCAACTGGAAACCTCTGTAGACTGTTGAACCAATAGCTACATTGCACTTCCTGCCAAAAACACTGTGCTGTTTAATGAACTCACATAGCTCATTGTCAAAGCCACTACTCCCATTTGATTGAGCTACAAAACTAGCCAACTTCTTGCCTTCGAAACAGATCTCATCAATATCTCTGCCTCGCCATGTACACACAGGAGCAATAACATGTTTAAGCGCAGCAACAACACTGCACGCAATAGACACATCAGTTGTTGACGGCGCAACCATTACATTAGTACCAGAAACATCCTCAGTTGTCGGCGCAACTCTGACATTAGTACCAGAAACAACAGCCACATGCTTTTTCTCTGCACACCTGCAAGAGGGAGGGCTAGCATCAACCTTACTTTTGATGAATCTTGATGGGCGCTGGATAGGAGGACCTGACCTGCTGACCTCCTCCTCCACAACCTCTTCCACAGCAGTGGTAGATGATGGTTCTGAGGACACAGTCACAGCACCTGGAGTTGCATCCCCCTAAATAAATCCAGAAAAAACATTAACAAAACTGTCATTTTGGCATTTGAGAGAACTTGCTAGTCATATACAATAATTTGGAACCATTTGTTTTGACCAATGCACACCAAATTAAACTGATTTAGAATGAAGTGTACCAACCTCCTCCGTTGCAACCTCTTCCACAGCAGTGGTAGATGATGGCTCTGAGGACACGGTCACAGCACTTGGAGTTGCATCCACCTAAAAGAAATGAAGAAAATACATTATCACAACTGTCATTTTGCATTTGAAAGAACATGCTAGTCATAACAATAATTTTCTATGTGTATTACACAATTTGTTTGGGCCAAAGGCACACATGCACATAGAATACAACTGATTAAGAATGAAGTGTACTAACCTCCTCCTTTCCAACCACAACATTGGCAGATGTCGGCCTGGGAGACGCCTCCTCAACACTGGGTGACGCCTTGACCTGTTTACGCAAAAACAAAACCATGTAATTCCTTATTGTTTTCAATCATTATAATTATTCATGTACTAAACAAGTAGAGTAAGGACAATCTTGCATTAGTGGTGGCTACCATTTATACTGCGCAATTCAATGATTACATTAATGAAATCAAAACAAACCTGGCACATTGCAAGTCTCCTCTTGCAGGCGACACGCTTCACTCTTGGCTCCACACTTGGTGTCTGGTGTAAGAAAATCAAACACACTTTTAGAACAGATATAGGAGTGTTTTAAGGGAAAGAATACAATTTGCACAAAACTCATCAATCAACTCATCGCTCATTTTCAGCTTACCGTTGCGTCTTGTGGAACAGCTGGGCTGTCAGGGCTCGGAAGTTGTGCTGGAACCACAGCATCCATAGCAGCCAACATGGAAGTGCTGAACAGGACAGGATTCAGTGGGATGAAACACTCCTTCAGCACAATTGGACATCCACCCACCTGTGAAATACACATAGAAACACAATGTTACTCACAGTTGCTATTGAGTGCTATCAAAGTGCATAGATATACAATCAATATACATATGTCAACAATTCATGTCACGGTAAACTACAAACCTGATGCCGAACCACGCGCCGTTTTGATGGACTACAGAGCTGTTCCTCAGATTGGATCCTCTGCAAGGACAAATAACAACGACTTTATTAAAATGAATGCATGCTGAACGTTTTTTAATTGACTATTTAGCAAATATCAGTGGGAAAAACACAAGTACAGAATGCAAATATTACCTTCTTGCCCTTCACCATTTCCATCCAGACATACGGGTCTGGGGGGGGAGACGAAGGGGGAGCAGCGAAGACCTCTTCCTTCACGAGCAACCTTGGAGGGGTCCTTGGAACTGGGGACGGTGTTCTGGGAGCCTCCTTCGCCTTTGGTGCTGGCACCTCCAGTTGCTTGTAGGCAGCGTCCCACAGCACCTTGGAAAGAATCTCCATGCCATCGTCGTCGCTCAAGTGAACCTGAAATGTTAGAATCATACATTCAGTAAACATAACATTGACTTTCAATACATGTCTATTATAAATTCAACTGCAAATAACTGAAATGAAAAGATCTAGTTTGCACACAGTATATGCTACTTACACTATCTCTGACCCACAGATCCAGCTGACTGAACGGGAAATGTTCAAACGTGGAGTAGTATGCGATACCTAAGAAATAGAAAATTGTTATGAATCATTAATATACTTACATATATCAACTTTAGCAAAATAAGAAAGCATAAATGTATTTGTAATACATTGTAATGTTCAGTCAAACACTATCTGAGAAAATACAACTCATAAAACATGGAACTTCAAGATCTACTCGAAACATACCCATTTTCTGCGCCACAGAATGAAACTCCCGGCTCATGTGCTCCTGCAGTTCTGGTGCAACGGTCAGACGTGGAACAAAGTCCACCACAAACACCTAAAACACAGAACAGCAGTTTTTAGACACAAATCTAGTTTTGGTCAATATGACCATCCATTTAAATACATATACGTTATACTACAACACCTCATTTCAGAATTGTCATTACTGAACAAAACTTATAATGTTACACAGAATCAACAAAATAACTTACATTTGCACAACGCTGACAAGCACTGAGCAAAAGCTCCCGGAACTCTTCTCCGGCCACCTCGTGGGTACTGCTGGTCGTCAGGTTGTTGCCGGGGGCCAAGATGCACACTGCGTCAGGTGTCCTCGGCAGCACTGCATGGATCAGCTCGGCCCTCAGATGACACGCGCTCGCCCCTGGGGTCGACATGATGCCAAAGGAAAGGTTTCCCTTCGAAAGCCCGACAGTTCCATCAGCAAAGGGACGCAGATGTGAATCCCCCACGAGAAGGACGAACTGGAAGAATAGAAAGAACCTATTTAGAAATCACTCGTCACAATTTACCCCGAATATTTGTTCACAAATTCAAAAACAATAGATTACCTTCTTCTCGGGAGAATGAGCAGGAACCACCAGCTTGTGTTGCTTTCCAGACACCGACCTGTCCCACTCTTTCACACGACGACGTTTCCCTGTACCACGGCCTATTAAGGGAAAGACATATATTACTTATCTGGATTACACAAATATTGACCTAATTTACAAAAACTTGTGCACATTGAACTTCGTGAAAGGGGGGGAACACATCTGGCTACTTACGTGGAACAAACTCAGGACTTGGTGGCAGAAAGTCCACATCCAATGGTCGTTCACCTGCCCATCTCCTCTTGGCAGCCTGAGAACGACGGTAGCCCTTCCCACGTGGCATCTAAAAGTATATAATAGAATTGATTAGTGATAATAACAACAAAACACTATATGCTCAATAGCAAATTAAGATTGTAAAGAACTACTGAAACCAGTCATAAATTCTGATTCTTTACTACCACAGTATGAGTAAAGCTGCCATGTGAAACCATGATAAGCAGAGATGCCATACACATTCACAGCTTTTATACACAGATACTAATAGCTGCTATGACTGCATAATAAACTCCTGCTTGTTAACAGCACATTACACATCCTTTCTACATCCTGACTTAGACAAAGAGAGCAGAACCAAAGTGACCACTTGTGTATGATGGACTAATACAAGGTGTGATAGGGTGTGGCATTCAGAAAGTGTGCCTCTCTTTCATACACAGATTACAATGTATTCACACATAATTAGTGAAATCATGGCCATTACTTATGTTAATAGCTCTGTGATTGCCATTCTTCATTCATTAACATAGTTGTTTGACTGAAACAACCATTGAAACTACTCAGACTACAGTTGGTTTCTTTATAACTACTTTACTTACTATTTGTGCTATTTACATTACACTAAATCTCTTTCCTCACTTTACTTCTACAAACTCCACAACAAATCATTCAAATGAAACATGTCCATTTGTAGTTTAAAATCATGGCAATGCCCATTCATATATATCAAACTAAATACAGATAGTACTGTGAGAATTTCTTTCCATACATTACACATACATACATCCAGTACATTTATTATGGTCAAGATTGCCATATATATATATATATATATATATATATATATATACTATACTAGATATAGTTACACACATATTTATAAATACCTGTGTTAGGCCTCAGCTTCTTGTGCTGAGTACATACAGTGCTAGTAACCAACAGTATAGTAACTATATGACTAAAACTAAAACTGCTGTTCATTCTTTACTAAACAACAGTTCACATAAAATCAACTACAGGCAACCATACAACTTTAAATAAACTCACCGGAAGAAGACAAAAAATCACGTAGTTCAAAACCTTGAAAGGGGTTGAAATATCTCTCTCGCACTGTCTCTAAGCCTTGCAAATGCAAACACAGCTCCTCTCCTCTGTTCTGCAAAAAGCAAGACCAATTCTAAACTTTGAACAAGCCATTTATACCTTACCACCAAACGAATTCAGCCAATCACAACGCAGGACAGAAAGGGGGCGGGACATCAACACAAACACCTGGAGAAACAATATTGTCAAACTTGTGACAATGATCGCAATCTTAACTTTACAACACAAACTCATGTCATAATGACATTCATTGTAAACTTAAATACAATTGCATATGTTACCAAATTACCCAAACACAACTAAAGTACAAAAGACTTTACCATATAATGAAATGACTCTATTACTGACACACTTACTTATTGTTATAAAGATCAAATTCTTCAGACATGCCTTAGTCAATGTTACATTTCAATGTTCCTTTAAATATATGTTTTTAATTAATAACTTTTTACTTCTCACTATACATTATCAATCTAATTAAAAATACACACAAAAAATCACTGAAATATGGGTTTTATTCATGACATCTGGGTCACTTTCACAATACAAACCTCACAATGAAACATCATACAAACATAACACAAACACATACATAACTACAATTATAAATAAGAATGTACTACAAAAAGTTACATAAACTCCTAACAGAGACTCTTTTCACTTCTATCAGGTCATCTCCATCTCCCAAACTGATATTGACTTGTAAAACTAATTCACATGGAGTCATTATTTACTGATTTAAAATAAGCTCCATAGACGCTGAAGATTATCACACATAATTATATTGTGGAAAATTGTAGTCTACTTTGCTTCTCCATGAATGTCTGTTGATGACATAATCTTTCTCATACCAATCTTTCATGTACACTTCTGTAATCTAAATATACATGCTAGCAGTACACCATTCATGTACATGGCATTTGCTTTCCTTAAACTCACCTACGTTATTATATACCTACAATAGTAAGTGAAATTTATGCAATTTTACCACATCAGCAGTACTCATATACATCTCTAAATTCATGTAACTGTTATCAAATATCCTTAATGCTTTTCTTCATCAGTGTACTGAAGAAATATATGACACTGACCGTGACATAAATAAACCTGCCTTACAAATTATACAAACAAAATGGCTGAAACTGGTGATCACCAGTCAATGCTTACTCCCAGGTGTTGAAAATATTTGTGAACACCACTGATAATCAAACACCACATTGTTTTCATAGAAATGCACACAATAGTTGCTATGATTTGTGCTCAGACAAAGAGAACAACACCAAACTCACCAATTGTGAGACAAGGTGTGATAGGCTGTGGTACTCAGACAGTGAACCTTTCTTTCATACACAGATTACAACTTATTCACGTGTAAGAGACTTCAGATATGTAAATAGTTTCCTGACGCTCATCTTTGCAGTGATAGGCTGTGGTACTCAGACAGTGAACCTTTCTTTCATACACAGATTACAACTTATTCACGTGTGAGAGACTTCAGATATGTAAATAGTTTCCTGACGCTCATCTTTGCAGTGATAGGCTGTGGCACTCAGACAGTGAACCTCTCTTTCATACACAGATTACTACTTCTCCCACGGACTTTAGTTATGTAAACGGTTGTCTGACTCTCATCGTTGCAGACAAAAGACAGTACTTGACTGAAACACACATTGCAACTGCTCAACATGCTGTTGTTCACCATATCTATAGACCAAGCTAACTGAGTTACAATAACACATTAACTCAATTTCCCTATGGATCAACCTCAATCATGCAACTAAAGCACAAACACTAATGTTTCTAAAGCTTTAAAATGAACTTCCACATTATAAAAATATGACTCCTTATTAATATCATGTCTTGAATTCATATTTCATTACTACACATGCACCATGACATGACGTCAAATAAACTGCAAATAACCACAACACACAAATAAGCCACATTAAAAAAATATATTATATACAAACTATATACAATTTACACACACTTATACATATGAAGACATTTCTTTAACACATATTAAAACATAGCAAACATACCATCCCTGGCACAGAGCAGCTCCACCTCTAGCTCCTTTTTCTTCTTGAACAGAGAACTGTTGAACAGTGAACTGTTGAACAGTGAACTGAATCAAGTCTTTAATAATCCAACTCTTTCCTTTATTACCCACGATCATATTTTTCAACTAATGTTTACCTAAATACAAGCCAAAGCAAATACATCAATAAAACGTCACTAATATAGCACTAAACACATGCAAAATATAAACAGCCTAACCTGGTACTACGGGGGAGTGGGGGTGTCTAAAATATAAAGTTCGTTTTTTTCCCATGCATTTCCTTTTTCTTTTGTTTCTTGATTTTTGGATTGTCATAATCATGAATCATGTGTAAAATTAGGCTAATTCCAATGTAGGATTACCACGTTACGCATCACTATTTCACTTTAATAAAGATACCGGCCTGCATGCACGCGCAACGCACCCGCTAACCCCCCCCCGCGGTATACTTCACACGCTGACCCTAGTTATATCTGAATATTGCTGTGTTAGTTTTATCGTCTCATTATTGCCTATACAACTATAAATATTACATGAGCTTATTCAGCACTGGACAGCGCCAATCTCTCTCTCTTGTGATAAAGCGGAACGCGGCTCATCTCTCTCTCTCTCTCTCTCTCTCTCTCTCTCTCTCTCTCACAAGAGTTACATGTAGGCCTTTTTCAACTAGCGGTTAGAACAGGGCCGCTATTTAAGGTGCAGATAACGCGGACAGAATATAGCGACATCATTGCACACATTACTGTTGAACACAACCACTACAACAATATAGTTGTTTAAACACTGTCATAATAAATCCCCTATAAAACAGCAAGTCGTTTCATACTAACGGAAGACATCTGGAGCCCCCGCATGACGTATTCCATCACATATACGTTCATAGTTGGAAACTTACTGGGAGAATTTTATTTCGCCATGTTCTGTAAAACAACATAAAACCATAAACAGGTTAACCCACAAATGCATGCCATTAACAACGTGAGTACAGTGGAAAAACCATTGCAAATCACTTTCTCACACGCACATAAAATACAAATCACGGACAACACAAATGACTCTTACCTGTGAAAACAACAATGAGTCTTAAATGTGTTCTCAGGATTCAAATGTCAGAAGTGGGAGCGTGATATTTCCGCCAGAACCTTGATAAAGACAAACATGAATTATTTAGTGATAATTTGCTGTTATACAAGATTGTTATTTACGGTCTTTACATAGGACATAGTTACATATGTTTCTATGCTACTTTTTACAGTATCTATGGCCAACTTGTTGCTTCAAATATGCTTTAACAGCCAGTAAGAGAACAGTGC